AAGTTGTTGTTAGGTGCCATCGCGTCGGTTCCGACCCATAGCGACCCTGTGCACAACAGACTGGAGCACACTGCCTGAACCTGCATCGTCCTCACAACCCTTCCTGTGCTTGAGCCCGCTGCTGCAGCCCCGGCGTCCAGCCATCTCCCCGAGGGCCTTCTTTTTGTCCACTGCCCCTCGACTTCACCAAGCACGGTGTCCTTCTGCAGGGTAGACAGCCTCACCTCTCTACTGCAGAGCAGCTGGTGGGTTTGAACCACTGACCTGGTGGTTAGCAGCTCAATGTGTGACCCACTGTGCCACAAGAGCTCCATCCCTGGGGGTGGGGCTTAGGGTTCCAGTACTTATTGGCGTGGGGCTGGGACACAATTCAGATCTGTAACAACCGCATAATAGCACCCTTTTCTCTGAGGACTCTGATACCTGAGAGGTCACAAGCACTGCTTTTGTGGCTGAAGCCATCGCACGGGTCCTGCTTGTGACAGGGAGCTCACTCCTGTGCCCCTAACCCCTTTCAGTGGGTCAGGTGGGATGCATGCCAGTGCTTCCTGCTAAAAGGCCCTTATTCTAACTTTTAAAATGGTGAATTGAGTATCTATTTACAGTGAGGATCATCAGTTTTACATTCAACGATTCAAACATGTTTTGTTTCAGCTCACCCATTGCAATCCCTGCACTGTACCATCATGTAACCCCATCCCTCTGTGTCTTTCCTGTTCCCATGCCCTCTTTTATTCTGACCCTCTGAACTCTGTCCTTGAGAAAAGGCTGCCCGTTTGATCTTAAATGGCTGATGAGTCACATGGGGGCAGAGGGGGGAGAGTGAGTTCAATTATAAACCTGCAGGGAGACTAAAGGCCAGAGTCTCAGGTTCCATCGGTCTCTAGCTAAGCAGTAAGACCGGTCTCTTTTGATGTGGCATTTTTGTCCCACATTTTCCTCCCACTCTATCTAGGACCCTCTAATGCCATCATTTTCAGAGCAGTCGGGCACCATCTAGTTCTTTTGACCACAGAATTGTGGACACTGATGTTCGTGTGGCCCATTAGACCTTCAGACTAATTTAAGGTGACCAGACGTCCCGCTTTTTGGCGCTTTAAAAAAGTCCCGATTTTTGGAAAGAATGTACAACAAGCTAGGGAACGGTCTATTAGGTCCATGTAGACCAAATTTTTAATCAAGAACCACCCCCCGACCCCTCACTCCCCGTCAATGGTGACCCGCTTTAAATCTGGTCCCTTTAGACTAATTATTTCCTGTGCCCTGACTTGCATCGCTGTCTGCCTCATCTTGACTCCGGGCCCCCCTGTGCCTTTCACTCCCTGACCCTCGAGGGCACAGCATGGTCTTTCCCTCCTCTTGTCTGTGGATGACTGCGAGGCAGCAGAGTGAGAAGACTCGAGGCCAGGTGCCTGTCCTAGATG